TGGTACTCTTAGCTATGATTATGATATGAAATTAAATAGGAAATGCCTTTGGCATTTTACCAGTATCTGCTTAGGTATGTAATGCAAGCATGAAGTACTCAGTAGTAAATTAGCTCTCATAGGGTCCTTAAAATATATTATAAATAACTGACTAACCTTATTATTTTGCATTATTATTTTGATGTGATATGGACCCATTAAAAGGACAAGAGAGCAACACAACAACACATTAAGCCTAAGAGAATTAATCAGGACTTCAGATTATTTGTACTTGCTTTCTATAGCTTTTAACCCTGGATATTTGAAATGATATGGAACCTGAAGTAGCTTTATTGAGGGTTTTAGATTATTTAATGCTCTATTTTTTAATCAATCCTAAAACTTTAAAAATAGTCCAGGTCTATGAGCCACTTTGCCTGGTTCACTGCTCCAGTTCATTCCCTTAATTAATGATGCTGTGGCTCACTTTTAAACAACCAGTATAAACTCCTCATTGCAATTAATCCCAAAACTGTTATTATTCAAATGTCAACCTAGATTAAAAATAGATTTATATTGCACAGGTTCCCACAGTGAAGTGTTAATATGGATACTATAAGCTGTATTTAATACGTATTTCGCATGCGAAAAGGAAGGAAGAGTGAACATATTTCCAGGATTAACTTTCACTTTTCGTTTCTTAAAAGCACTTTGCAGTATTTTAATAGGACTTCCTATTTAATTATTGTCCCTTGTTGTCGCTTGCTGTCTTTTTCCTCTAGTCCCACCCATTATAGGAGATGCTGAATCCAATGAATTTTCAGTCATCCTCAGCCAACAGGCAATTTTAGAATGCAGAGTCAGTGGGTCTCCTTTTCCTATCATCAGGTGGTCCAAAGATGGCAAGTAAGTGCTAATTCTTAAACCATTCTAACATGACTTATAGACAAAAAATGAGAAGCTTGCTTCCTATCGATATAGTCAAATCAATATGCTTTTATTCGACTATAACTTAAAAATTAATTTAAGTAAAAAGAAATTCATATAAAGACCAAAAGTCTTGGAACTATGTTAGCTTCTTATTTTCCCCACTAATGATCATTTTCTAGATGAATTGTTAATGAAATTGAAAGAATCCTTGTATATCCATTTCCAAAAAATGGATTGCTCAGGATTTCTCACAGCGTAAATTTTGATATTATTTTACTTTGTAGTGTACCTGTCAGTATGTTATATTTCCAAAGCTTTATTTACAAACATTTTATTAAATTGATGCCATTTTAAGGTATTTCCCCCCCCACAGGCCCCTCTTTTTAGGTGACCCTAATATTGAGGTTTTGGACAAAGGGCAAATTCTTCAAATAAAGAGTACTCGAAGAGTTGACAAAGGACGCTACCAATGCAGTGCAACCAATTCTGCAGGCAAACAGTTTAAGGAACTCAAACTCATAATCCACAGTAAGTTATTAGAAAAATATATTGCACATCTTTTTAAGTTGTGTTGATAATAAATATGACACAGGCCCCTGTACTCAATTTCTTGTGTTCCCTTAAAAAGTAAATCAAAATGTTCCTTCAGCTTAAAACATTTATTCATTCATTCATTTGTAACTTTACATTTTTTTAATTGTAGAAACTATAACGTTGATCACTATAAGAAATAATGCTTAAAACAAAAATACATTTATCAATGAAAATGCTAATTATTATACCAGAGGCTCTATTGCTATAATAGATCTTTAGACTTAGAACCCATTGTATTTTCTTCACTGGGAAAATTTGAAGTTGGAAATTCAAAAATGGACTTCTCAGAGTTGATTTTATCCCTTCTTCAGTAGTTTGTTTCACTCCCAGTTATTGAAAGGGGCTCTCCCCCCCCCCCTGGATTTAAGGTGGAAATTTGATATTAACCCATTTGTGTTCTGGACTGTCCTCTTCATGACCAAGTTGCAGAAATAAAGGTTTCTCTAGTCAGCTGTGGAAATGAGTGACAGGAAGGTGTAGGTCTTCCATCACATTTGCAACTGTGTTGTAATCTAAATTTATGGACATAGTACTGGCCTTTCTAATTTCTAATATATTTTGGGGGTTACAATTTATTCTTCAGTTAAAGAGAGACTTTCTTCAGGTACGGATAAGTGCTTCTTTTTGATTATTTAAGTTATTTCTGGAATTATTTAGAAACATTTGAGAATTTTATTGATTTTTGCTTACCTTGCAAAAAGCTGAGGAACTAAGAGATTAAAATATTTAAATGGAAAGAATTAATTTTTCTTTTTGAAAGAGTGAATAGAAAGATCCTTGTGTGGGAAAGCTGTCTTATTTAAATATCAGTTGTAAAACAAAATCTTGAGGGCAGATTACTAGAGCACAAGAGGGATTCTTTAAAATAAATATTTGATTTATGGACCTGTAAAGTGCTTGAACTTTAACTCTTTACTGGAAACAGAAGTTATTACTGAATAACTGAATAATTCCCTGTGAAGACAATTGAGATGGATTCACTGGATTTATAAATGCAATAATATAATCAAAATTTGAAAAAAGTGTTGTAGGTTACCTGTTCAAATTGAAATGTAAGAGATTTATTGGAATTACTTCATGGAAATTACAAGTGGACTTGAAAGATGATTGAATCTATTTCTCTTAGTCTGAATCCCCATTTCCTGTGTTCTTTTCCAGGTTGAGTTTTACTGAAGGCACAGCTTTATCTTCCTTTGGTGATTAATGACAGATTAAAGTGGATTGGCAGATCCCCAGGCCATAATTAGTGAGCATAACCTGAGAAAGAAAGGCTGGCAGAAGAGAATAGCAGAAATGCACTGTACCTGTTGTTTGGCTATGACAGAACCTAGGCAGAACATTTTGAATCTTGTATAGTCATTGAAATAAGAGACCAGTAATGGATTGCCAGAATACTGAAGGATAGGCCACAGCTGCCATGGTGTATGAAGTATGGAGAAATGAAAGACAGAGAACAAAATGGGAAATAATTTGCTGGGGGGAAAGTCTATATAATGCAAGCTGGCCATATGTTATAGCACTTAAAAATAGAAGTAAACTTGAATGAGATTGTATTTCATTTCATTTCATTTCATTTATTATATTTTTACCCCGCCCTTCTCCTTGCGGACTCAGGGCGGCTAACAGCCTAATAAAAACAAATACAAAAGTACAAAAATACTACCATTAAAACGTAATTAAAAGGAAATATTAATTTGGCCTTTGTTATTTTAAAAATTATTTTAAAACCCAACTAAAAATACCCCTTAGGCCAGTCCTGCCAGCTTAAATAGCCATGTCTTGAGGGCGCGGCGGAAGGAAGGGAGATCCGGGATCACCCTGATCTCTGGGGGTAGTTCGTTCCATAGGGTGGGAGCTCCCACCGAGAAGGCCNAGTGCTCCTCAAGGGGAGCCCCATGTAGAGAGCATTGCAGTAGTCCAGGCGGGAGGTGACAAGAGCATGGGTGACTGTGCGCAAGGCGTCCCGGTCCAGAAAAGGCCGCAACTGGTAGATCAGGCGTACCTGATAAAACGCCCCCCTGGCCACGGCCGCCAACTGGTCTTCCAGTGTCAGCCGTGGATCCAGGAGGACACCCAGATTGCGTACCCTCTCCGAGGGAGCCAAAGTTTCGCCCCCTATAGTCAGCGACGGAGTCAGCTGACTATGCCGAGGCGCCGGCAGCCACAGCCACTCGGTCTTGGAAGGGTTGAGCCTGAGTCTGTTCCTCAGGCATTACCGCTCTCAGCTTGCTATTACTTTATATTGTCCTTTTAAAGCAATATATACATATACTAACCTGTTCAGGCATATCTCCATTCTCAATGCCTGTTTTTAGTAACTTGTAGTTACAACTAAACAAGTCCCACCTTGACAGGTCATGTGCACTGAAAATTAAAACAAAACAAAATACCCATGAATGTTTCTAATTCACTGTTTCTTCTCACACTGTACTGAACTGATAGCACAAGCAGTGACGGTTGCCATCAAATAACTGAGTGATTGCCCTTTGTGACATGCTTTGTACTCTTTGTTACACGCTACTGTCAAAAGAGTTCCAATCTGAGCACAAAGCCCCAATCAGCGGAGATAATAATAATAATAATAATAATAATAATAATAATAATAATAATAATAATAATAATAATAGTAAAGTTGGAAGGGACCTTGAAGGTCATCTAGTCCAACCCCCTGCTCAGATGCAAAGCTCTAGCCATTTATTGATTTGATTTTCACCCCAACTTTATTATTGTTTCTAATTCAACGTACCTAGTATTCCTTTCTCCTATTTCCCCCAAAGCAACAACCCTATAAGGTGAGCTGGTCTGAAAGAGTGGGACTGGCCCAAAGTACCCAGCCAGCTTTCATGCCTAAGGCAGAATTAGAACTAACTGTCTCCTGGTGGTCACCCAGCCGGCTTTCGTGCCTAGATGGGACTAGAACTCCCAGTCTCCTGGTGATTGGACCAAAGTCACCCAGGTGGTTGTCATGGCTAAGGTAGGACTAGAACTCACTCTCTCCCAGTGATTGGCCCAAAGTCACCCAACTGGCTTTCCTGACTAAGGTGGGACGAATTCACTGTCTCCTGGTGGTTGGCCCAAAGTCACCCATCCATCTTTCATGCCTAAGGCAGGACTAGAACTCATGGTCTCCTGGTTCCTAGGTCAGCACTTTAACCATTAGACCATTCGCCTTTGCCCTCAACTTATTTTCTTTTAAAGAGTGCCACATAGATGCATGTATAAACATGCTTGTTATTCTGACTAAATAACCTAACTATATAGAATGCATACTAGTGTCCTGGTGTCATTTTTCCACACTATCTAATATTATTGTCAGTACCCATTAAAGGTAGAATGAGGAGAGTGATCCTACCAAGACATGGCAGAAGCTGAAACCAAACTGAGTGACTGGATTTTTTTTTAATGTACGTGCCATAAAACAACTCATAAAGTATCTATAAATAAACAAAATCAAGACAAGCAAAAGGTGGACAAGCTATTGCTGTACTTACTTGTGAAAAGCAGAAATTCGTTTTAATGTTGATAAGACCTGATATGCATCATCTTCATCAGGTTCTTCGCCCTAAGTTTAACAAGTTGTAAAGTTGCAATTAAACCAATGATTTCAAGAAGCCAAAGGATAAGCCTCTGCTCTATTTTAATATCAAGAAATATTCAACCAAAATGTGAAGTATTATTTATTGGCGAAACCTACACAGCAATCCCTGCTGTTTATTTGGGCCAGGCTTTTTTTAAATTTTGCAAAGTGCAATGAGGAAAGCAAAAAGAGACAAAAGAGTAACTTGAAAAGTTAAGACCTGTACAGTGAGAGAGAAAATACGTACCTCCTGCAGAAAATCTTCAAGAAGCCGGTTGAATTTATCGGCTAGTTCATCTATTAGCTGGCTTCTTGCAATATCTACTCTGTTAAAGATGGTGAACTCCTCATTACAGAGGGCATGGTAAGTTCTAGAACAAGCTTCCAAAACATCAGTGTCTGTGTGCTTTTCTACTATATCCCGGATCTGTCGTAATAAGGCATCCAAATGCTAGCAAACGGAAAGCAAAAACAAACAAGAATCAATCAATCATGTATTTTCTGATGCATTTGTTCAAATTCCTGTTCCCTCATCTCCACCGCAGCCCCTTGTTCCAAAAGAACTGTGTTTAAATTGTTGTGATAGTACAAACAGCCATTTATTTAGCTGCAGAGCCCACGGGGGGCAGGCCAGCCTTTAGTCAAAAAAGTTCTGCTCAGTTTTCATCCATTTCTTTTTACTTGGCTTACCTTTTCTAATCTCCCTGTTGTGTAGATTTCCAAATCAAAATATTGTGGCAACTGTAACAAGTTGGTGATTTTCTCTGCATCTACAGAATACTGTGGATATTGAAAACAATTCATTAAATCCCAAACATTTCCCCGTATCGGTGTTTTGCTTTTCACAATCCCAAAGAGGAGTTTTGTTAAGAAATCTAAAATATTCATTTTGGCTAATTCAAAGTCTTAGATAATGTTGACAACAGAATTAGCAAACACTGTGCAGTCATCTTTAGTTTTAGATTTGGGGAAAAAAATTAATCTGAATGCTACATTAAGGTTCATAAAGCTTAGCAAAAAGACCAGTCCCCAGGAGGAACTAAAAAAATACACTTTGGAAAACAGTCACCAATAATAATTGTATCAAAACAGGCTAATCAGTTATTTACTTTGTTNGGCGCCGGCAGCCACAGCCACTCGGTCTTGGAAGGGTTGAGCCTGAGTCTGTTCCTCCCCATCCAGACCCTTACGGCCTCCAGACATCGGGCCATCACGTCAAGGGCATCATTGGGGTGGCCTGGGGTGGAAATGTACAGCTGAGTATCATCAGCGTACTGATGGAAGTCCACCCCAAAGCCACGAATGATCTCCCCCAATGGCTTCACATAAATATTGAACAAGAGGGGAGAGAGGACCGACCCTTGTGGCACCCCACAAGTTAGGGGCCTTGGGGTCGACCTCTGTCCAATTACTTTTCCCAGTGTCTTCAATTCCAAATATAGTTATTCAGAGATTGCATCTGAGACTCAGACAAATGTTATCTTCATTTTGTTGACTGCCTTCAAAATTCATATTCAGATTTATTTATTACATCCCTGAGGCCAGATACAAACAAGGAAAATAAAAGAGGAAGCATTTTCAATGTTTAACAGCAAGAAACTCTGCTGTTGCATTTATACGTCATATAATAGATGGGGCTACTTTAAACCATTTAATTTCCCTTCAAATATCTACAAAATGCAGCATCCTGAATACATGTGAATTAACAAAAGATATTTAGAAGTACTCAACTTCTTTTTCACTCATATCTCTCTTAAAAATCTCTTCCTTTCTGCATCAGAATAAATGACTGTTCAAATTGGGTATGGAAGTTGGAAAATTACTTAAATTAGTAGGCTAAAGTATCTCCTTACCTAGATATGCCGTACATTTGAGTACATTCATGGTTTCTTTGCCATTTAATATGCCTGGGAATTATATTTTTACTGTATGTTACCTTTGCAACCCATCACATGTTGGGTTTTATTCATTCTGGCAGCATAGGTTGTATGTAAGCATGAATACCTTTCCACCATCAGCAGTCACATTTAGCGCTTGTTTATTACACTATATGAGTGTGCTGTGAGCTGCATTTATAAGCATCTGCAAATGATTAGTTTACAGTCATTATTATAGACTTGAAACTATATATTTGCCTGAAGAGCAAGGGTTTCTAATTCTGGGTTTCCAAACATACTGAAATCATCACGGTGCTGAAGTGATACTTCTGGTTTTCTTGGGTGAAATTTAAAGTCTTTAGTAATGCTGTTTTCTTTTTAATGTACTGAGATGGCTAGCAATGCAGTGACCATCAAGACATCTTTCTTTTAATTTAAATTGCTTTTATATATGTACACTATGTTTTTATAGTGCTTGGCTCTTACAAAATTATAAAATTTAGGATAGAGATTTGAGATCTTTTGATGAGCTCCAGTTGGCCAAACATGATATCTTTCCATATCATGTTTGGCCAACTGGAGCTCATCAAAAGATCTCAAATCTCTATCCTAAATTTTATAATTTTATAAGTTGGATATATGACTTCTCTGGGGATGTGTGCACCATGTTTCTGTCTCATTTACACATCCCTGCAGTTTAAGGAGGGAATGTATTTGCAACACTTCTTGAATTTAGCATTTCATGTTGGTGGGGCAAAGATAAAAGTAAGCATGGCCAGACCAGAAATCCCCAAATGGGCATGCTGAAAGTGAAAATCTTTAAAGACGCATAACTTGGTTTCCCTTCCATTCACCATGCCTTAATCTTAGAACAACTGTGTTTATTTCAATTGATTTACTGAGAATTGGAGATAATTGAATGAAACTCTGGGATCCCCATGAAGATCTAGCTGTAAGCAGCTCCAGTTTTTGTTTTGCAGCCTATAAATCCTCCATCAGTAAACAGACTGTTACCGTTTAAGACTACAGAAATCTAGATGACCACTATATGGCAATAATCCAAACTCTAATTTTTAACTGTGACCTAGTAGCCATATAGATTTTTGCAGCTAAGTTGGTTGCCCTATGCTAGATGGACTCTAAAATATTTTGAACAGAACTGAGATGCAAGAATCTGAATAACCATCATTAGCAAGTAATTAGAATGTTCTATTACGGTATTACCTTGTTATCTAGTGGTTGTCCAGATTTTTGGAATCTACAAAGACATCTATAAATATGAATAAATATGAATGTTCTGGAAGATCTTTCCTTACATATATTATAGAGCTAAGCATTATGAAACTGATTTGGAAGAATATTTTGAGCATTATGTGAGGGTAGCATCTGCAGCATCTCTGTTCCAATTGTTAAAGCATCTATATCTTTTCTAAGATTTTCATGGGTCTGTTTAAAGGTCATTTTATAGAATCAGCTTCTTAAGCAATGACAACTTTTTACAGGCTCACCTGGAATCCTGAAAAAGGTTGTAGTTCTATTAATTAGCAGCAGAGAAGTATTGTGCTTGCGCCACAACTGAAGTGCTTCTTCCAATTCACTTTTGAAATGTGCACAGATCTAATATCTAAATTGTACTTCAAGGATAAAGTTGTTTTTCAGTCCTTAGCTTTCAATATTTTATTATTTTTAAAGAAATATATGCCCCACTTTCCCTTGAAAAAAGGAGTCACAGACTAGTTTACAAAATGTTAAAACTACCCAAAACCTAGTAACCACTTTATTTTAAGAGGAAAGCAATATCTAATGTTAAAATGCAAAGAATCAGCACTAACTGTTAAACAAAATCAGTCAAAAGCAGAATCAAAGGTTTAGAAATGAACTGAAATATACATATTTGAAGAGAATTTTCCTTTATAAAACATTTATTGCATATATATGCAATAAACATTTATTGCATATATATGCATACACACACACACACACAAACACACTTAACATTGTAGAGAGTTTCTTTCTTTCTTAGATCTCTTATTGACATGCTAACTAACTTCCTCCGCACTGGAGCCTTCTACAGGGAATTAGGTCTTCTCATAATGTGTCCGAAGTAGGATAATTTGAGTCTGGTCATTTGTGTCTCAAATAATGTTCCATTTGTTTGTTTTCTTTGCTAATAGGGTATGTATAACAGCTATTTTATATATTTAGTTTTGCATCTTATTGTTTGTTTTTCTATTTATTTTCTACAAAGTTCCACCTACAATTAAAGGAGAAAATATCACCACTGAGGTGTCAGCATTGCTACATAGCATCTTAAAGCTGGAGTGTGAAGTCAGAGGAATTCCAGCTCCTACAATAACATGGTATAAAGATGGAAGCCCAATTATTTCTGGTCCCCAAGCCCTTTATTTGGAACATGGACAATTTCTCCAGATTCCTCATGCTCAAGTCTCTGATTCTGCTCAATATACCTGCCAGGCTACCAATGAAGCTGGAATGGCTGAAAAAATATTCGAAGTGGATGTCTACGGTAGGAAGTGATATTACCATATGCTATTTGTCTGTATGCCTCTTTTTCCAGTGCTGTTGCAATGCTGGAAGTTGATTTGTGTAACTTGGCAATTTTGGGATTTAAATGTTCCGGTTTCCTCTTGGCTGGTGATTTTGCACTTTGTTTTTGCCTTAAGCTATCAGCAGGTTCATGGTTGATCCACATTTAAGTGTGAGCAGTAGTCATAACATAACATGGGTGAGAAAGAGGAGGAAGAATCTAGTTGTCCTCTATCATTTTTCTCACCTGGAGAATGAATTCCATTGTTGGTGAGCATTCATGTAAAAAAGTGCATTTGAGCTCTTTTTTCTCTCCCGGTCATCCATGTTATACTTTATATCCTCCTTTCTCAAGAGGTGATCATAGGCATCCACATGAGATGAGAAGGGAGGAAAAACTGATCCAATGTACATCATCGTGATGTATAATTTGTGACTTTGATACTTTATATCAATGACATCATTGCTCTTCTGTCATCATTTTTGAAGGAATCAAAAGATTTACTGAAGATGCTGATAACTTTGGCAGCCTGGTTCATCTACTGCTATCATCTATATATCTAAATTAATCTTAAACAATGTAAACCAGTTTAACTAGAAGAAGATATCCATACTGCAGTGTATGGATACATGGAGAAGATATATCACTTTTAGCATAAAAGAAAATTCCTTAAGCTAAGGAAAGAAGAAAATCAATTGTAACAATGCTTTTTTTTTTGCTTGTGGGGAAAAAATCCTCTTTCCCCCCCTTTTCTTCCAGTACCCCCAGTTATTGAGGGTGTCAGTGAAACCATCCAAAACAAGCAAGTGGTTGTTGGAAGTTCACTTATATTGGAATGTAATGCAGCTGGCAACCCTCCTCCCCTGTTAACCTGGCTGAAGGATGGAGTTCCTGTAACAGCAAGTGACAACCTCCATGTTGTGTCCAGTGGGAAGAAGCTGGAGATCCTGAATGCTGCTGTGACTGACCATGGCCAATATGTGTGTGTAGCTACCAGCATAGCTGGGGAACAGGAGATCAAATATGATGTGGAAATCCTAGGTGAGTAGAAACCATGGAATTGAGCATTATATTTTATTTTAGGAGCCCTGGTGGTACAGTGGTTAGACTGTAGTATTGCAGGTTAACTCTGCCCCATTAACAGGAATTCAATCCTGACAGGGCTTGAGGTTGACTCAGCCTTTCATCGTTCTGAGGTCGGTAAAATGAGGACCCAGATTGTTGGGGGCAATATGCTGACTCTGTAAACCACCCAGAGAGTATTGTAAAACACTATGGGGTGGCATATAAGTCTAAGTGTTATTGCTATTTGGTTTTCTTTGTGTTTTCAAAGAACGTGAAAGTTACAC